AACATAATAATACTTAGTTAGCACTTAATTTTTTCAGTTGTTTTTTCTGAATCTCGTGAAAATTTTACCACAGAATCCGGACCCCCACCTAAAACTACTTGCCGACCCCTGCTCTAGACGCTTACCTGTTATGTTTGACGACTCTAAGCATTTTGTTCGCGCTCTTATCAATCGTATGGTGTGGAACCTATTTCAAAGATTTTTTTCTCAAATGAAAATTCAACCAAATCAATGATTTATTTATTTTGTTCTAATAAAAATGTAATCAATATAATGCTACAGTTACCAGTTCTACTACAGTTACCAGTTCTACTACAGTTACCACTATTGAACTACTTGATGAGGTGACATTTAAAGGTGCAAATAAAAATATGAATACACTATCAATGAATCAAATCAACCAGTGTATTTGACATTTATATAATTTTATGATTATTGTCATGTCATAGTATTTCATGATTTATACGTGTGGATGCTATTGAATGATTCAACCTGAATATTTATTGAAATAATATGACCATATTCTATTATAATTTCAATGAAGAGTGTTGGTAGAGATAAACCACAGTCATACTGAACCAATGTCGACATTCCTATTTTGATCAAATAATCAAAGAAGATTCATTCAGTTTTTTCAGCTCATTAATTGATGTTTCACCAACTCGCAAGTCAGCGACCATTTGGGTGCGTTTCTCAACTTAGCCTCCAGTCGTAGGTCAAGCTAATAATAATCTGAAGTTTTTAAATGAGTTGTGTAAAACTGTCGCCGTCTCGGCTGGGATGAAGAAAGTATGGTACAGGGCAGTAATAAGGTTAAAAATTAGGTATTCATAATTTAATCTCAGGGACGGATCGGTCCAAGCTATCGCTCCTAGGCTAAAATATATTTGCGCCATCCTCGGCAAACATTTCTGTGGTTAGTTCAAGCATCAGTCTATCGTCGTTAAAATGTATCCTATCGACTATTCCACTATAGAGGTGTCAATATATTTCGAAATTTTCATTAGTCATTGAATCTTCTGGGTTCACATTTCCATGAGTTTGAAGAACATAAGAAAAAGAAAAACCTCTTTCCTTTTTCCGAAACTGAAGTTATCCTACTCAGTTAATTTTTCAATTTCAATTCTGTCTACATAAATATAACTGGGTTAATGTCCCCCTCTCTTTCACCTCTTACATAAACTTCTTCGGCTTCGACTTCGCATCTGCCTATAAAAATGTAGCCTTACTATTCCAGAGTAATTTTTGTCTTAAGATTGAGTTGGTTTTGAAATCGTCTTGTTTTACGCCCAAATTTGGCCATCAGAACTGCCTGGGAAAACAAAGACTTTGCTTCGAATATGTTGCCGTTCCAATCTTAATCTACTCGTTTGGAGTAGTGAAAATGACCCGAGAGGAACTGTATCAACTCGACTTAAAGACCCAAAAAATGATGCATCTCAATGGGAGTTTGCATTCCANTATGATTTTGGCCGTGAAGTTTGTGTTAAAGGTGTACTTCGGTGTCATGTGGTCCGTGCACATATTCAATATGTGCTCTTCCACTTGTTCCGAAATTTCTGTTCGGTTCGATCTTTTGTAGTTCGGTGAGTTTTCCAGTCTGAATTGGCCCATCCTGACCTCCCCCATTATCACAAAGTGTAAAGGAGATAGATTCAGGAGTGTCTACAATGCAGCTGTTGGGGTAGTTCTTGCTCCCGTCATTCCCAAACATTCAAGTCTCTGCACCCTGCCTAGTTTGTTGATGGCGGTCGCCTACTTCATCTTTGGCCACCAGACCAGAGATGCGTATGTTATCATGGGTTTAACCACCATCATGTATAGCCAATACACCATGTCTGGTTTTAGCCCCCATGTTTTTCTTTAGGTGCGTCTGGCGAGCATCAGTGCTACCTCCGCTTTCCTCTTTATACTGTCCAAGTGTTGGTTCCAGGTCAGTTTGGAATCTAGAATTACTCCCAGATATTTAACTTCCCCCGACACTTGTATTTCTTCACCTCGAACTTTTAGAGGTCCGAGACCCTCCGTTTTAGTCCTCTTGGTGAATGCTACAATAGTAGATTTGGATGGGCTTATGTTAATCCCTTCTTCTTCGGTCCATCTTGTTATAATATTCTGCATGCATCCCTTCACTACATTATTGTATTTATCCTGGACTAAGATGGCTAAATCGTCTGCATAGCCCAGTGCTTTATACCCATTGTGGCCCAGGAGACATAATAGCTCGTCCATTACAATGTTCCATAACAGAGGGGATATAACCCCCTTTGAGAACAGCCCCTTGCTACCCGTGCCACGAATATTTTCCCCATGATGGTTGTATATACCAATCTTCCCCTAAGCATGCGGTCTATCCACCTACAGCTTGTCTTGTCGATCCCTCTTCTCCTCGTCGCCTGGATGATTGATTCTAACGATGTGTTGTCCAAGAAAGCAGTTAAAAGTACTTCCTTGGTTTTTTTAGTATGTTCTACTTTTTCTGTTACCTGACATAGAGCCGTTTCTGTTGACATACCTGACCTAGAGCCGTTTCTGTTGACATACCTGACCTGTATGCATATTGGTCTCGATGTAATGGTCTGATAGCCAGTAATACGTTCTTGATATGCATGTCAAGTAGTTTTTCTAGCGTTTTCATCGTAAATGACATGAGACTGATTGGTCTCAAGGCCTTCGCCGAGTGTTGCCCGATTTTCCCAGGTTTTGGAATGGAGGTGTCCCTGATCAATCTCCAAATGTTTGGTATGTGTCCCAGTGCTAAACTTGCCCTGAGAATTATACACAATTTTTTGAAAAGAACTTCCGGTCCCTTTTGAAGCATTACTGGGTATATGCCATCAGGTCCCGGTTACTTATAGGGTTGAAATGAGTTTAGAGCCCATTTAACTTTCTCCAGATCTATCACCTTCTTTGTCATTTGCCAGTCCTCCTTGAATGCCCTTTTCGGGGTCTCCAGTTCTGAATTCGCCCAGAACACCTTAGTCTAATGCACTTGCTGTCAGTATGTCCAACATCTGCGGTCTCAGAATATATCCATCGACATAACGCGACATAATCCTAAGAGTGCTTTATAACTACGCACGGAACGTTTACGGTATTGACGAGATATCAGTGTAAGTAACCCTTCGATCCGAGCGATATTGAATCCGTTGTGGAGAACGAAAAGTGCCGAATTTATTGGAACTATCCATTCCCACCCTCAGGCTCATACAATATAGTACGCATGATGTAGTTTTTCTCGACCATCAGAGTAAGATATTTGACGTGGAAATGAAATTAAATATCCACTTTCGCTAGGATCTTTTAATTTGGTGAATTTTGGGAACTTCGAACAAACTTCAAATTAGATAAATCCATTTACATAGTCTAATGCACTTGCTGTCAGTATGTCCAACATCTGCGGTCTCAGAATATATCCATCGACATAACGCGACATAATCCTAAGAGTGCTTTATAACTACGCACGGAACGTTTACGGTATTGACGAGATATCAGTGTAAGTAACCCTTCGATCCGAGCGATATTGAATCCGTTGTGGAGAACGAACAGTGCCGAATTTATTGGAACTATCCATTCCCACCCTCAGGCTCATACAATATAGTACGCATGATGTAGTTCTTCTCGACCATCAGAGTAAGATATTTGACGTGGAGTGTTTAGCTCCTGGCGAGACGATTATCATCCCAAAAGAGGAGAAGAAACTTTGTCAAGATGGTTGTTTTGGTTATTGGTGGAATGATGCCCCGTCTACTTTCAAATCTCAAGATCAGGCTGGCTTGCCGCACTAAGGCAGAAGTTTTAACCGTACAAATTCATAAGGCTGTCATTCTTGGTTCACTGCGGTTGCTTAGCTTAAATTTAATTAAAACGATTCCAAACCAAGTAACTTGGTTGGAAATCTTTTTTAATTAAATTTAATCAAAGACATCTTTTTTTTTACATTTCTGTGTGTTGAATTTATAAATTTTTGCTCATTTTTATTTTATTGTAATTTCATTTCACGTTTTGTTCTGTTTTAAAATATGTTTTTCCGTTAATCAGCTGTCGCCCCCATACGAACGACAACTCTCAGAAGTTGAGAAACTTGTGCGAGCTAAGAACTAACGAGGTCTTACCTTTTAACTTGTGATTCCTAACACGGTTGCAGAATCATTCCAGCTTCAACCAGATACATTCTCTCGAGAAAAATATCTGGTCGAGGCGGGAATCGAACCCACGGTCTTCCGATCGTGAATCGGGAGCACTAGCACTAGCTTTTCATTTTGATTTTATTTATTTTTTTCAGAGATTTAAAATCATATCAGAAATCATATTAGACAATGGAATTCCGAACAAGTAAAATTCACCATGCTCACATAATTTTTACTTAGTGTTGCTTTGGCCGCCCCAACTTTTAAATTTTTGATGCGGATCTGTATTTTGTGGACATTTTTGATTCGGAAATGTTCATGTAGTAGGTATTGAGAAATTAAATTAGCTTCGATTTTCCCGAAAGTTTAGGTAACATTATATAATGATCATCAGGTAAATAAATAGCTGATATAAACTTAAATATGTAAATGAAATAATCTCTCATAAATCAAACTCCTATAAAGTTCTTGAGAAAAATTCATATTACAGAAACAAAATGAAAATTCCTACATGTCAAAATGAAAATTCCTACATGTTCTTAGTTTGGAAGATTTTAGAGAAATGAAATTAAATATCCACTTTCGCTAGGATCTTTTAATTTGGTGAATTTTGGGAACTTCGAACAAACTTCAAATTAGATAAATCCATTTACAGTATGAAGTCAACACCTGCTAATTTTTTGAAATACTCATTCATATTTTTCCATATGTATATTTTGTTTAATAATTGAAAACAGTTCAAGTTTGCCTTAAACTTCGTAGGGTTGTGGTAATCCTCATCATCAACCTTCGAGCGTTATTTTCAAACAATATAGTTGTTATTCATTTCTATTCTTGGAAATTTATTTATTGATGCTTTCATTGTTTCAGAAGCTGATGAGCCAACTAGTAAAAAGAAGAAAGAATGTCATCAGCAATATGCCAAAACTTCGTGCAAAACGCTTGGAAAAAGGAACTCTGTTCAAATTGTTTCAAATCAAAGGATGAGCATATCGATAAACCTAAATTCAAACCACTACAGTTAATAGCTAGCAATAAAGTAGAGAGTATAATAAGAAATGCAAATAAATCCAAACCCAAACACACTGTTTGTTTTCCCAAAACGTTGACAGAAATCATAGGGTATGGAGGAGAGGATTGGTGTTCTGATAATGAAGATGATGGAAGTATCGAAAGTAGTGAGGAAGATGTCACTTTGGATTCGGATTCTGAGGAAGAGGATACGTCAAAAGAGCTGCAAAAGATAACGAAGCAAAACACTGATTTCAATTCAACATGTCTTAAAGATACAGAAGTGAAAAAGTCTTACACCCAACTACTCCTGGGCAAACCTTTGGTAGATTCTTCTGGTAAAAAACAAACTCTTCTGGTCTCTGTTACTCCTTTTGGTGAAGATATATCAACTCCGGTCAGAAAATATAACACCAAAACGCTTTCTCACATTCCCATCGCAAAAACAAACAAAGAAATTATTGCAGAAAATAAAACAAATGTGATTCTTACTTCTTATATGAAAAGTGAAGAAGCCAATTTACAAAAAGGAGAAAAGTCCCTGTTAGATGAGATATCAGAAACTTTGGAAAATAGTAAAAACCCTATTCAGATAATGTCTAAGAAAAAGTCCCAAGAAGAAGTTGTACTGAATCTTGCTGATTCGAACAAGGAAAATATAGAAAATTGTAAAACCGAATCATCAAAACCAACGATTGAAGAACATATTCAAGAAACAAAAGTTGCAATTTCCGAAAAGAAAATAAACCTATCGCGAACTCCTGCGTTGAAACGAGATATTGAAAAACCTGTCATTCATCAAACTTCCACGGCTAAGATTGAATTATTGAATAACAAGAACTTGAAATTAAATAGAGACATTGTTTGTAATGTTCAGAATAAGAACGAAGTTAATAATAATGAAAAAATTGACTCCAATATCAGTAACAATGACCAAAATGAAATATCCAACACTGTATTGAGTACTGCAAATCTGATTAAAGCAGAAATACTGCACACAAAAAAAGAACTGATATATCGTACATCAGAATCAGTTCATAATAAAGACGAATTATTATACTGTAGAACAGGAGCGAGTGACATTAAAGAAAGGAAAGATGAAATCAATACAAGCGTTGCTAATGGACACGAAAAAATAACCTACGAGGAAAAATTAATAGGTTTGCCACCGCCTGTACCAGCAAAATACATTCCATTTACTCAAAGCCGGGAACAAGCGGGCAAACCAGATGGTCGTGAAGATCCAATAAAAACAGAATTGCCTCCACTTCCAATAACGCCTCCTCCGGTTTTAGAAACACAAACTTCTTTCTTACATAGCATCCCTCCTTCTCTTCATGAGAAACCGAAAATACCATCTAAGCCAACTACTGTCTTGATCAGAAAGCCCATATCTCACAATTCTTCCACAACTCAAACTCAGACTTTATCTACGTTTTTAAAGGATAGGCCTGCTGATAAAATGCTTCTTTCCAAGCAAGATTCCAATGATTCAGATTCAAAAATTAATAAAAGAAGAGCCCCCCAACCTCCAGAAGAAAATATAAGTCCTATTTATGCTCGAAATTCGATATGTTCAACATCAAACGTAGATACTATGGTTAATGAAAAAAACGAACGATCGGCATCATGTACCCCTAAGATTTTTGATGGCCAGAGTCAAGAAGAAGCTATTTACGTTTCACCTGAACCCTTGCCTAGAAAATCATTGTCTGTGTCCACGGATTGTCTGGCAACTGATGAGAAGAGGAAAGACAAATCTAAGGGTAGATTCTCTCTGAAAAAATTCCTCAGAATGGGGTCAAGTAAAGATATTTCAAAAATATCAACGGAAACCTCTGAAATAAAATTCGAAGAAAACTTTGAACCAAAACCACAGCCAAAGCCTAGATTAGTTATAGTACATCCTTGTGAGTTGAACGGCGACAAAGTGGAAGTTGTCAGCAAAAACATTGGTGATCAGGTAGACTGTCAATCAAATGGACACGAGTATAGCACACCAGGTGGTGAATACGAAACGTATGTTAGTCCCAAATCCGCAAAGCCACCTCCGCCTCCAAGAAATTACAGCGAAGTCCACAATATAGGAAAACCGAATCTACCACACCCTCCTAAATCGGTGCAAATACTCACCAAACAAAGGCAAATTTCCAGAAGTGGCTCCGCTTCCAAGAAGCCAGAAACTGTATATGCAAATATAGGTGAAGTACGCTCAGCAATTGTACCAAATAAACCTGTTCGAACTGCTAGTATGCGAGAGAGAGAGGCCATGCAACAAAAACAACTTCGCAAGATGACGCACAATTATGAACAGATTAATGTAAGAGGGAAAGAAAACTCCGAAAATGTGTATGACTATATAAATTCGACAAGATCAAGTTCACCAGACAGTGATTCGAGTCGAGACAAAGGTAGTCCACGAACAAACAATGTTAGATTGGGAAAGAGATCAGAAAGTAGTATAGATGTTTCAGGAGAGTTTTTCAAGTACAGCAATATACCAAGGAGTATGTCGTTAACTTACTGTGGCAGCGAAACCGAATCAGAAATTTATTCCCCTCACAGTTTTTATGGAAGCGAATCAGAAGTAAGTATTTGTAGTGTATATACTATTGGAAATGGGAGCATGTGTATTTAGATGTAACTAACAGATGAACTAATTTCTCAAACTAGTATCTTTTTTAAACGCCCTTCAATAATTCTCACGGATTAGTTTGATTAAAACCAGACCCGAAAAATAATTTTCAATATTATAAAGGTTTTAAATTTAATCAAAGGAGTCGATCTTTTTTTAAAGTGAAACTAGAGGAATTTGAGTTGAGTCGATCTTGGACCTTGTTATGCATTTTACTATGAATGCATGAACTGTTTAAAATCTGTTTTTCCGTTAACCAGCTGTCGCACCCCTACGAACGACAACTCTGATCCTGGATCAACTCTCCAAGTTTCGAGGAAAAGAGATGTCGATAATATAAACTCTAGGTGGATAGATTCCATGTTTAGAGGAAGATTGGCAAACGTGGCCATTATGTTGGAAACAGTAGTGCATGGTTAACAAGGAGCTATTCTCAGGGCGAACCTTTGGCTATAATGTTTATGGAGCACCAAACTTCTGTGCACCAATGGGACTAGCATCTACGACAACAGATAAAGATATATAACTGTTGGGCAGGTCAAATATCTGTAAGTGAAACTAGATACCAGACTGAACTGAAACCAATATTGAGGTATTTAGAAAAAAACGTAGGGGCTACAACCAGACCTAATGTATTGGCGTCACATTATGTTGGTTAAACCAATAACAGTCATTTTAAAAGCATGCTTAACAGAAGCATTTGGTTCATAGACGGAACATGGGATGGGAGCTGGAATATATTGGGCAGGCAGAAATTTACATTTCAGCAATACATCTCTATCAGGCCTCAACAGAATGAGCGAGTCAATATTGCAAAACAACCCTTTTGATTCTCAAGTTCTTTATCAATATATAGAAAGCGGAAAACTTTAGAAAAGAATGAGAAAAAATTAAATAAATCGATAAAAAATCTTCACAAAGATGAACACATCATGCAGCGAAGTTTTCGTTCACATACAAACAACTATTTCCAAATATGAATAGTGAATTACATGAAAATCACTTTTCTGTAATTATAATTTTCGATTAATTCCATATTCTTATGAAAGAATTTGTTTATGGTAGATTTGGTGAAAACATGGCTTTTGCATTTTCTGTAGCTGAAAAGTTAAATATTTTCAAATCATCAGTGTACCAGTATTACACGGTAGTGAAAAATTTAAATGAATCACCGTTCAAGATGAGGAGTTGCAAATGAGCCTTTTCACTCATTTTGTCAGACTTCAATTCAATGAACATCTACACTTTCGTTTCAGGTGACTGAAGATGATCATGAATGGATTCAAAATGGACGAACACATAAATTGCGTTCAAGAAAAGGAAGAAGCATTGTCCACAAGAATCTAGAGGATAATTATGGTGCTGTTGTAGTAGCTAATCACGAGGCACTGGCTCAAGTTCTTGAAAATGTGAGCACAAGAAACATTTTCAAATGTTAATACGATTCTTAATATTCTATGTTTTCTGTACCGTTTTCTTTTTCAGATCCAGCAGACATCTCACATTCAACCAGCTCTGAGGGGTTTAAAAACCTTATCAAATTTACGATGGACCGATTTTTCAATTAAATCAGGTACCACACCTGTTGTAGTAGGAAATAGAGCTTTTCATCATGCCTTGTGGGGAACACAGCATGTAACTTTGCTGGTAAACGCCGGTTCAGTTACATCAAGCACCCTTTCTTTAGGTACCTTCAACTTAACTCCAGTTACTGAATTCAGCGATCTCATTCCAAAGAGTTACCTAGCTAGTTCAGAAATCAGCAGAGAAGACACTACCAAACAAGTTCAAGGTGAGTCAGTCGTTTTTTGTTTGATCAACCATAGTCCAAGCTCAGCGACCTTTTGGTCTAAGATTTCACATCCTAAAAACCTATATGTAATTTTATCAAAGTTAATATTTTAACAAAGAATTGAGTAATATAGGAATGTAGGCTTTCAAGGTTGGTTTCCGGGTTTTGCCGTGATCTTCTTTAGTTATAGACCACGGCAAAATCCGGAAACCAATCAAAACAAAGAATAGCGTAATAATGTGCAGTATAATATAAGCATTTAAAAATATACACATACTTCATAACTTGAAAGTGTTGCCCCTTTCAGATATCAGGGTCTCATATATTCTTTATTTTCGACTTAAGAACGTTCTCTTGAATCCCAACAGGTTATTAGTAAATTACATCGTTTGCAGTAGTTTTCAATGAGAAGAGTAAATAGATTATACCTAGATTTCGCATCAGACACGTCCACCTGTTCATATTCTGAATACAGTCATTTGTGTCAATGTGATTTGATGTAAGGATGTTAAAAAATACGTCACATCATATCAATAAAAGGGGCGGCTTTCTAGCTAACAAATGTGCATACATACTTGCAGTTCATATTACTCTCTGTATTGCTAAAATATTGGCTTTGTTGTTGTTCATTTGGAAAATACAGTATTTTTTCTATAAGCGAGATAGCAGGCCTTTATTTTTGCAATTTCTTGAAAATATTAAAGAATTAACTAGGGAATTCAAACGACTTTGAACATATTTTTTAAATTATTGTATATATTTAGTGTCATTTCAATTTTCATAGAAATTCTATCAATATTTTTCAGCTACAATTTCGGTTTTACCTTATCTGCAAGTTGATACAATCGAGTCCTATAGCGATTTTCTCAAATCCAAAGTACAGCCCCATGATAATTCGTGGAAAGATGCTAACTTTGTTATGCTCCAGTTGGTGAACTCTTTGAAGACATTACAAGCGCAAGGTATCGAGGAATTACCATTATCTCTGAATTGTTTTGTCCTTTGTAAGGACATAGATAAGGACAGCAATCATAGATTATGTGTCTTACAAGGGTAAGTTTTTGAGATAAAAAATAAGTATGTCGAAACATCTTTGACTTGCACCAATAGTTAATAGTTTGGTTCAATATATATTTTCTATGATTTCTCATAAATATGTCGTCAACAATCTTATCTGTTTAAAATCTAATTTTCCGTTAACCAGCAGTCGCACCCCTACGAACGACAACCCTCAGAAGTCGAATCTTGTGCGAGCTAAGGATTAACGAGGTCTTACTTTTTAACGTGTGATTCTTATGTCTATATTTCTACACTACAGAACTATTTCTCAAGTTTTCAGAAATTTGAAAAAACTTATTCAAAACAAAACTTTTTCTAGTTCCACAGTGGATTTGATAAAGTGTGCGTATCTACTGTATAAATAATGATAAATATATACAATAACTTCCTCAAGCGTTTTCATACTGACTGAATTCAACTCAATTTGTGCTTTATATAATAACAATTTGGATCATATGACCTTCTATATATGTAATGAGTAATAATTTTACTCAAGTTTAGGTAAAAACTAATTTTTTTCTTCTATGATTGAAAATTTTCAATTAGTGTTTACCTAAACTCAAGTGAAATTGTTAATCATTAACTAGGTAGAAGGTAATATGATATTATATTAAGCACAAATTGAGTAGACATTAGTATGAAAACTCTTGAAAAAGCTTTTTTATGGCGAAACAAGTGGATTTGTAAACTGTCCAGTGAATATCTTGAAATAAATGTTACTTGAATACATTATAGACTTCAGTCAAGTATCGCCAACTTTCATCATACATCATAGATATCCTTTCAAAACATGAATAAATTGAAATTATCTTTTCATTGGTGTTTTTTTTTCGTTGAAATGTTTTATGAAAAAGCTGCATACACTTTACATAATGACTTATGTATAATATTTCATTAAGAATAAAGTATATAGTAAATTGATTGAAAATGAAGGCGATTTTTAGTTCATCATCCAATAGTTTGGGGTGGAAAAGATTCTTTCAATTGGGCAGTTGAAAACATGCTAGTTTTTTTAAAGCAATTATACCCATATACAAAATATTTTATCCTTTGATGGTAATTAATTTCCATATTCTTTCAAGAAGGAGAGATTCATCATATGAATAACTTTCATTTCTAGAGCTTGTAGCAGAAATCAGTTGCACAAATCTGTTGTTTTTCCGTTAATCAGCTGTCACCCCCATACGAACAACTCTCAGAAGTTGAGAAACTTGTGCGAGCTAAGCACTAACGAGGTTTTACCTTTTAACGTGTGATTCCTAACAGTTGAACAAATACATAATCTAATTAATTTCTTATAACTTTATTTTTCAAAATGTTATTTAATTTTCTTGAGATGATATACATTATTATATGATGATTGTTGGCAGTACCAAGGAATCACTTGATGGAAACAATAAATTTAAAAGTCTCAGTTTAATAAGTGTGTTGTTCCGGTTACTGTAAAATGGTTAAAACTAGATTATGATGACTGTAAAAAACTTGAATTATTCATGCTAAATAGTATTTTTCTTTATATGATCTCCACCTGTAGTATAATTATGATGAAAAGGAAAATGGTGAAGAAAAATCTCAATTGTTTTCACTATTACTAATTTGAAAAGTCACATTGATATATACAAAATTTTAATATTTTGTCTGTTCACCTGTGAGGTATTAAGTAGATTGAAATATATGAAAGTGAAATAAATTTGATTGCAAAATATTTTGGGATGACAGTGGCCAGAAATAACTTCTAGAAATGATATACATCATTTCTAGAAGTTACATATTCTGTATGTTCCAAAAATATGATATACTTACGGTCCATTCTTGAAACGATCTACTTAGAAAGTAAAATAACCCCCACTTTTTTGTGATTTTTCTCTTATGGGATCATCATATATAACTCAATTCCCGATAAAATAGAGAAGCACTATTCCATCACAAAATTTTAATATCAATTGAATGAAAAGCTAGTTAGTGGAATTTCATAGTTTGCGTTTTTTCTATTACCCCTGAATTCATTTTCAAAATGTACTTTCTGAAACCAATTTTATATTTGTCTGCATATCATTGCTTATGTGTTTATTGTAAAGAATCTTATATCTGTTACTGTTATTTTCCGATACAGTTAGTCTCTGATTATAAAAATTTATTGTTCTTGGGACAATAAACTGTAAATGCCAAAATAGGCAACCCTAAACAACAATTAGGAAAAATACTTACTTCATGATGGCGTTCAAATTTATAGTTTGGCTGAATTCAAACTTTGCTACATTACGAATGTTGTTGCACAAACTGAATGGGAAAAAGTTATTTTCAATTAATTCAATATCTATATGAAAGACGTTGTTTGGAAAATGTTTTTCTTCCCGTTTGTATGATCTGTGTAGGTGTTTGATTGGTATATCTATAGAAAAATTCATTGTAGTTGTTTTTTTTACTTCCCTTGGAAGTTTCACACACTTTATGTTTAATAATGGAGAAGTAAAAACCAGAAAGCTTTCTACTTTATATCATTCTTTACGAATATAGAAATAGCTTGAAATTAAATTTGTATCATACATCATTTCCTAATACCTGGGAGTAAGACGTTGAGGAAGCTTCATAAAATATCCCCTTAAACAAACTGCTTCTTGAAAAATAAGAAATGAAACTTTCTATGCTTTCATACCGCTCGTATTTTTAGCCAGCTCCATGCGCATTTTCATTATATTTGTGTATCTATTTATTGAGTTTCATTATATTCCATATGTTTATTTCAGATTAGCAACTGATATTGCGAACAAAACTGATCAAGAAAAACAAGGAACCCTATGCATGTGTGCCTTGAAAGCTTTGAATATACTTCAGCCAGCTCTCAAAATCACTCCAGTTATACAGTCTCTCCTCAACCATGAACGTGCAGTCTCCCTAACGCAAGTGAAGAGCATCCTAGAATTTTCTCTCTGGGGCCCGTCAGATGTTTCGCTTGGAAGTACAATAAGGGAAAGGGAGCTAGCTCTGCAACGTTGGTTGGATCTCCAAAGAGCAACTGTGTTACACGGGCTTGTCTGTACCAGAGTCCAATTGACAGTTTATGAAGAATTTCATTTATTATTTTTAGTAAGAAGTAATGCCAGGATGATGTGTGATGCTTCATTACTTATTGAATCCAGTAATATTAAGCACTCTCTCACACACAGTCAAAATAGAAATGATAAATGTATGGGAGCCTGAGGGTATGTCTCAATTCCATACTGATTAAATGACATTTTATCACGAAATGTTGAGTTAGTTACTTGAATTGATAATTGCGTATTTAATCTTTGTGATAATTGAGAAATTAACTGATTTCCATCACGTTACCATAAAAGTTTTTCATTGTATCTACCCTTGCCAGAATATGAAATCTGATGTGTGAAAATAAGTACTCGCTGAATGATATATGTTTCCTTATTTATTGAAATTTGTTGAATTGTAAATATAATCTAGCCTCTTTTACTGCCTTTATACATTTTTATTGTTTGTAAATAAATATGAATTTTTATTATTATTTAATGGTTACTGGATTTCTATATAAAATTATTCAAAAGATATTTGTAAATAAATGAAATTGTGCCTTATGTATTTTAAACTGTATAATTCAAAACAAATTCAACAATAAAGAGTTTAAAATTATTGCAAACCTATTACTCTCGTATAAATTAAATATTGCTGAAATAAATTAAGTACCTCCACTACAATATCACTAGTTTTTGAGTTTTTTTTACATGTACTATATTCAAAAGTTCAAATTACTACCTCTAGTATTTACTATAATTGTTGGCAGTCTAAAGACCCTTATTGAAGTGAACTCTCACAGGCATTTTATCTCCGCAGTTGTAAGTTCAACGTACTACTTCTAGTATTTACTACAATTATTGGCAGTCTAAAGACCCTTATTGAAGTAAACTCTCGCAGGCATTTTATCTCCACAGTTGATCTTCATCTTTTCAAACTCTTCTGGTTCTAGCCAAGCTAATGTTGAAGTTTTGATGGAGCTGCAAGAAAATAAATTTCTTCAATTGTACCTGCCAAAGTTTTCTGTTGGATAATGGTCTACATCTGGTTGATTGAATTGGTTCAAAATTAAATGTTTTTGCACTCAGTTTAGTTGAAAACTTCTGCAGTGTTCAAAAATTTTAAATTGTCTCAATAACAGGATCAGATTTGAATTCTCTTATTCCACTCCTTCAGGGATAAATTCAAAATGTGAGTTTTAACATATAGAAAATTAAAAATAAAATTCATATATGTAATATCTTATTCAAATTCTGAAGATACTTGTACCTAATCTATTTTAAATTAAAATGTATGTATTTCAACTGTTACTAATGTTTTTAAATGAATAATGCAATTATATTGAACATCTCCAAGAGATGTTTTATCAGACGATTTTAAAATTGCTATATAGGTACAATGAATGGTTTGCCCTTAGCTTCACATAATTAGTAGTTTCAACTGAAACATATTTTATAATTATTAAGGCAGTCTTTAACAACAAATTTTTTTAGATTTTTACATTGATGAGTAATTGTCATGAATTAAACACATTAAAAAAAAGTAGAAAGAGAATATATCTTTTATAAGATTAGAAACTTTATACATATAAAATTGAAAAATATATATATTTCAGCATTCATAAATTACCATATTTGTAACCAACATTAAAGTTATATAAACCAAACTATTTATTGGACTTGAATTAATTCTATAAACTCAAAAATTAGTTGTTTCATTTTCATTCCGTTGAAAATAATACAAAGAAATCAAACTTGAATTTTATTTAAATTGGATATATTCATAATCATACCACAAAACAAACCAAATTACTAAATTTTGGGGTTCATAGAC